CTCAGATGTCATCTCTCAAGGATGCAAGGGCAATAGTGGAAGAAGGCAGATCCACAATCTGGGGGCAGCTTCCAGACTTTCCTTTCAAATCAGACAAATTCGGCTTGGGATTTACTTCGACTGGTCAGAAGGTTGTGCGCTGCGCCCGTGCCGGAGGGCCACCTGTGAAGATCAGTCATCATGGAGTCAATGCTCTAGAAGACAGTGAAGAAGAGGGCAGCTTGGAAGACTGGATTTTTCCAACTGTTGACGGAGGACTGTGCAACTGGGAAGAAAAAGACTTTGTTCCGATTACTTTCATACTGCGGTAATTTATCTTTTCCATTTCTGTTGGATCTGTAATAATTCTCAAACAATTCGTACTTTTTCAACCTTGTGTCTTACCCGAGGCACAGTGGTCCATTTGTAAGGGTTCTTATTTCATTTTCATATGCCATTTAATGAATCATGGATGTTTTTCATACAAACTTTTGTGTTCATTGTCTTTCTTTTTTACATTTTATTTGTTTAAAGGTGGCTATACCCTTACACATGCCCACACTCACAAATGTAGGTACCCTTCCATTCCGGATACCATGGGTAATAATTCTACTATGGCCTTCAGTGACTCTGAAGATCTGGTATACCAAGCCGAATACGAAGGTGAGGAAGATTGTGAGGTGCCAGGGGAATTGGCTAGACTTCTACAACAAGAGGAAAGGGCTATTCTGCCTCATGAGGAGCTGTTGGATACAATCAACTTGGGTACTGAGGAAGACAGAAAGGAAATCAGACGGGGTGCCAACCTAGAGCCGTGTGTCAAGGAGCTCTTATTTCAGCTACTGCATGATTATGTTGAAATCTTCGCCTGGTCATACGAAGACATGTCGGGACTTGATACAGATATTGTGGTACACTGTCTACCCACAAGAGAAGACTGTCTACCAGTTAAACAAAAGGTCCGCCGCATGAGGCCTGACATGTCAGAGAAGATCAAAGCAGAAGTTATGAAGCAGTTCAATGCTGGATTTCTGGATGTTACTTCCTATCCATAATGGGTTGCTAACATTGTGCCCGTGCCTAAAAAGGACGGAAAAGTTCAGATGTGCATGGATTACGGAGACTTAAACAGGGCCAGCCCTAAAGATGATTTTCCACTTCCACACATCGACATCCTGGTCGACAATACAGCTCAGCACAAAGTATTTTCTTTCATGGACGGATTCTCAGGCTACAACCGATCAAAATGGCACCTGAGGACATGGAGAAAACTACTTTTCTCACACAATGGGGTACGTTCTGCTACAAAGTGATGCCATTTGGACTGAAGAATTCCGGTACAACCTATCAACGCGCCATGGTATCTTTGTTTCATGATATGATACATCATGAGATAGAGGTCCACGTAGATGACATGATAGCCCAATCACAAACTGAAGAAGAACACCTTGATCACTTGCAAAAGTTGTTTGTCAGGTTGAAGGAGTACAAGCTAAGATTGAATCCAAACAAGTGTACATTCGGAGTCCAATCCGGTAAACTCTTGGGTTTCATTGTCAGCAAAAAAGGCATCGAGGTTGATCCTGCCAAAGTCAAAGCTATACAAGAAATGCCCGCTCCTCGCACTGAGAAGGAAGTCAGAGGTTTCTTGGGACGCCTAAACTACATTGCTAGGTTCATTTCTCACCTAACATCTACTTGTGAGCCAATCTTCAAGCTGTTGAAGAAAGATCAGGTAGTTAGATGGAATGATGACTGTCAAGTTTCTTTCGATAAAATCAAGGAGTATTTGCTAGAACCTCCTATCCTGATGCCACCCGTCGAAGGAAGACCGCTAATCATGTATCTGACCGTCCTAGGGAATTTAATGGGGTGCGTACTGGGGCAGCATGATGAGTCTGGCCGAAAAGAGCATGCCATTTATTACCTTAGCAAAAAGTTTACCGACTGTGAAACAAGATATTCACTGCTCGAGAAAACTTGATGTGCTTTGGTATGGGCTGCTCGCCGGCTAAGGCAGTATATGTTGACTCATACCACTTTGCTGATATCTAAGATGGATCCGATCAAATAAATCTTTGAGAAGCCTGCTTTGTCTGGAAGAATAGCTAGATGGCAGATGATCCTGACCGAATATGATATACAGTACACGACCCAAAAAGCTATAAAGGGTAGCGTACTAGCCGATCATCTGGCCCATCAAGCTGTTGAAGATTACCAGTCCATGAAGTTTGACTTCCCTAATGAAGACATCATGACATTGGACAACATTGAAGATATCAGACCATATGACAGACCTGAACAAGGATCCCGATGGACCATGTACTTTGATGGTGCCTCCAATGCGCTTGGTAACGGTATCGGCGCAGTACTCATCTCCCCAGAAGGTTTCCATACTCCTTTCACCGCCATACTTTTCTTCAACTGTACGAACAACATGGCAGAGTATGAAGCATGCATCTTTGGACTCAAGGCTGCCATAAACTTGGGAATCAAATCTTTAGTTGTGTTTGGGGACTCAGCTTTGGTTATCAGTCAAATCAAAGGAGAGTGGGACACCAAGCATCCAAACCCCATCCCTTACAAAGAGCATGTCTTGACATTGTTACCACATTTCGAGCAGATTACCTTCGAGCACTTTCTGCAAGAAGAAAATTAGCTAGTAGATGCTCTAGCTACAATGTCATCTATGTTTAAACTTAACTGGGATAATGAGGCTCCCCAAATCACAATTGAATGGATGGACGAACCTGCACATTGTCACGAGATTAATACCGAAGAAGTAGTGGACCAGCCATGGTTTCATGGAGTCAAAAGGTATCTCGAGGCCCAAGAATACCCTGAAGGAGCTACAGTCAATGAAAAAAATTTCTTAAGGAGATTCTCAGCTAAGTTCTTCCTAAGTAATGGTATCCTGTACAAGCGCAATCATGATTATGTTCTGCTCCGTTGTGTGGACAAGGCTGAAGCTGAAAAGATCATGGCTGAATTGCATGAAGGTACATTTGGCACTCACTCTAGCGGGCATACGATGGCTAAGAAGATTCTAAGGGCAGGCTATTACTGGTCTACCATGGAAGCTGACTGCTATCAACACTCCCGTACATGTCATAAATGTCAGATCTATGCAGACAAGGTACACAGGCCTCCAGTTCCTCTAAATGTCTTAACAGCTCCTTGGCCCTTCGCTATGTGGGGAATCAACATGATTGGAGAAATCAAGCCTACAGCATCCAATGGACACCGCTTCATTCTGGTGGCCATTGATTACTTCACAAAGTGGGTCGAAGTAGCTTCCTTCGCATCCGTTACTAAGAACGTTGTTGTCCTCTTCATCAAGCAGAACCTCATTTGCCGGTATGGTATCCCCGAAAGGATCATTACTGATAACGGTACAAACCTTAACAATACTATGATCACCGCCTTGTGCGAGCAGTTCAAGATTCAACATCACAATTCATCCCCCTATCGGCCAAAGATGAATGGTGTTGTCGAAGCTGCTAACAAAAATATCAAAAAGATCATACAAAAAATGACAGTCACCTACAAAGACTGGTATGAGATGCTACCGTTTGCTCTCCACAGGTACTGTACCATGGCTCGCACTTCAACTGGGGCAACACCTTATTCCTTGGTATATGGCATGGAAGCTATTTTACCTATCGAGGTTCAGATTCCCTCCTTGAGAATCATGAAAGATGCAGGTTTGAGTGAAGAAGATTGGATCCAAACCCGACTCAATCAGTTAAACTTAATTGATGAGAAGAGACTTACTGCTATTTTCCATGGTCAGACGTATCAAAAATGGATGATCAAAGCCTTCAACAAGAAAGTCAGGCGCCAAGTGTATCAAGTTGGAGATATAGTGATCAAGCGTATCATCTTGCCACAAAGTGATCCCAGGGGCAAATGGACTCCTACCTATGAAGGACCATTTGTATTCAAGAACATCTTTTATGGTGGGGCAATGATTTTTACCACCATGGACAGCGACGACCTGCCACACCTTGCAAACGCAGACATAGTCAAAATATACTACGCATAAATGACCTGCTAGGTTGACACACCTAGGCAAAAAGGGGGAATACCGGTGAATCGAAAACCCGAAAGGGCGGTTCAAGCAAAAATTAGGGATAAAACAAAAAAATCTGTACACCCGGTAAGTTGAAAACCTGAAAGGGCGACTTGGGCAAAAAAGGGTTTCCCGGTGGACTAAAAACCCGAAAGGGCGGTGAAACAACCGGCTGAAAATCATCAAACAATGAAGTCGCCATCGAACGTCTTTTATCCCACAGGAAGGGAAAGGTAAACATCAAGAAAACCCGAGAAGGATGAAATCAAGGTCGAACGACCAAGAGATAAGGGTAAGGGAGTCCGTTACGCGAGGGGAAGGTATTAGCACCCCACACGCCCGTAGTACTCTACGGTATCCACTCTTGTTGTCTATCTTATGGGTGTGTTTAATCTATGCTTATTGTCTACTACTGCTAAAGGGAAAGTGCATGCAAAAGAAAGGGGAAAAGAGTAGGGAAAATAAAATTGTGCTCGCCTGGGCCCTACCCCAATGCCTACGTATCTGTTTTAAGGAATCAGAGCAGCCGTAGTTCGGCTTATATGTTTTTGTTTGTTTGTATTTTCTTTAACGAACAGTATTAATCTCGTCTTCTGCCGCAACTCGACCTTTGGATATTTACGCGTCAGCACAGAAGTGAATTAATACGCTCTTTTGAAAAGGGTTTGAAAGAAAGCCTCGAGGGCAAAAAGATTTTTATGGTTGTTGGTGTTTTTACTTGTAGATAATAGCTAGTTAACCTCAAGAGAGAGATTTTAGCCATTTCTCTATTTATTCATGAAATGAGTCTTTGAGACTTGAATCATACCAAAGCTTAGAACAAGAGAATAATAATGTCGAGAAGAAACCCGCTCATCATCTCTCAAACTTAGCCAAGACATGGTTTTTGTCAGTAAATTTTTATGTATTTTTGAAGTTTGTAAAAAACAGTTTTTTGTTTTAACTGCATATGCAAAGGAGGAAAGAAAGTCACAGGAAGACAAAAGTCACAGGAAGACGAAAGTCACAGGAAGACGAAGGTCACAGGAAGACAAAAGTCACAGGAAGACGAAAGTCACAGGAAGACGAAGGTCACAGGAAGACGAAAGTCACAGGAAGACGACGGTCACAGGAAGACGAAGGTCACAGGAAGACGAAAGTCACAGGAAGACGAAAGTCACAGGAAGACGAAAGTCACAGGAAGACGAAGGTCACAGGAAGACGAAAGTCACAGGAAGATGACGGTCACAGGAAGACGAAGGTCACAGGAAGACGAAGGTCACAGGAAAACGAAAGTCACAGGAAGACTAGCCTATTTCTAAATCTAATGTTATCGTGTATTAGACCTGAAGTTAGAATCTCGAGGGAATTCTACCTAGAAAGTAGTAAAGTGCAGGAGTAAAAATAGAGTTGTGACGATACCGAACGGAGAAGGTATGTCGCCTCTTCAACCATGCAAGCCATAAGAGAATTCTATCAAAGCTTCCTTGAGAGAGTGATTGAAAATTATGCTCTTAGCTAGCTTTGAAACTTCATGAAACTCCTCACTCAAGTCTCTTTTATTTACCAATATTGCCAAAGAAAATAAATCGCCAAAATTAATCACAATCGAAATGAGTATGGGAAATAAGATCTCAGGAGGTGCGAACTAAATTCACTATGTGCTGCAAGAAATACAATGACATTAGGCCCCATCAAAAATGGACACAATCAGCAAGAAAATAAAAATAATCATGGTCCAAGAATTGACTAGTTTGGCCCATACTAATCATTCTTAATTTTATTATTAATCATATTATTGTATTTATTTGTTGAATTAATAATAAAAGAATAAACATGTAATAGAAATACTGGTTCAGAAAGAAAAAATAAAACAAAAAAACAATTAAAACTAAAATAAAAAAATATAGGAAAGTTGAGAAAGGGGTTAGGGTAAAAGAGGGAGGTGTTCTCTTCTTCTCCACTTGCGAACAGCAGCGGCGCCGCCGGCCTTCGCCTGAGTTGCTCCGTCTTCTTCTAATTTGTTTCGTCTCAACATTTTTTGAGCTCGCTTTGTCCGGCTCACTCATCTTAACTGCTTCTTCGATTCGTTAATAAGCATCAAGCGCCTCACACCATGATAAAACACACGGCCTCCGCTTTATCTCTCTCGCCTCCACCTTGCTTGCATCAAATCTACTCTCAAACACTTACGATCTAACAAGACTTCACGAAAGGCAAATTGGAATTGAAGCGATTCTCGGGCGAACTCATGCCACGTGTTCAAATTCGAGACTCAACGAGTTAAAATGCAAGATGCAGTAATAAATCCGATGCAAAAAAGTGAAGATACGACGCTTACCGACCGGAGTTCATCCAGCGCGTCCAAGATAACTCAGGTAAATCTTTCACTATATTCTTCTTATATCTTATTTTTTTATGAGGTTCTGAGTTTTCTGGTTATGTATGCTTCTTCTTCTACCTTTCTGTGTTGTCGTGTGTCCATGAATAACATGAAAATGGAGTTGCAGTGGTTCACGTAGAAGCGGCGAAAGATCAAAGAAGGTGATGACGAAGAGTGTGTGAGGATGCGATTGAGGGACAGTTATGGAGAAAGGATCCAAGAAGATTGCAGAGAGATAGAGATATTTGTTCAGGTGTTTTTATTGATTCTTTTGGAAGTTGAAGAATGAGGATGAAGATGAGATGAGATGAGAGAGCTTTTCCTGGTTTTTGTGGTGATTCTTCTGCCCGTTCCAGAATGAGATGATTGAGAGGTAAATCATTCTTTTTTTCTGTGTTCAATCTCCTCCTCCTCTTCTGTCAATCCCCATTATGTATATATGCTGGAAGTTTTGTTGTAAAATAAGCCATGAGTTGGTTATGTGGTTAGTTAATTCTGTTAGGAAGTTAGGATGCAGTTTGTTATGCAGTTATAAGTGGTTAGAAGGTTTGAGAGTTTGTTATGAATTGGTTACTGAATGTTAGGTATGTTGTAACTGCTTTTGGGTTAGTTAAGTTGGTTAATTGAGATATGGTTTTGGATAGGAAGTTATGGTTAGAAAATTCTGTTAGGGAATTTAGTTGGGGAATAGGTTGTAAGAAAGCTGGAAATTTGTTGTTTAGAAATTCTACTTTGGAAGTTGGTTAAGAAACGGTTAGGAATCTGTGAATTAGAAAGGTTGGTTGAAATTGTGTTAGTTATAAGTTAGAAGTCCTGTTTGGAATTGGTTGGAGTTAGAGGAGTTAGGCTGTTAGAGGAAGTTGTGTTACGGTAGTTAAGAGATGAGCTGGAAAATCTTTATGTGTTAGTTTTGGAATGAAGAGTACTAGGATACTGTTTAGTTATTTTTATGCTGGACAGTTAGGGAATATGACAGTTTAGTAGCAAATTAGTTAGAAATTCTATTGTGAAAGGAGGTTAATGGATTTAGCTAAGTTTGTTGAAGGCAATTTTGTTATTAAGAGGTAATATGCTATGTGAAGAAGTTAGTAGTTGAACGAAAATGTTAGTTGGTGTTACCATGCTGTTGATTAGCAAGCATGCAATCTGTATTATTTGGAAGCAACTTGCATTGAATATTTAGATCAACATCTTCAGCAGTTGATTGCTTCTGCTTTTTGCATTTACGCCTCTTCCAACTACATGGCCTAGATCCCTTCCCAGTCCTAGTTGTAACACAATTCAAGTCTGGTTTCCCTTCTGACTCTGACTTCTTTATAACAGTAGCAGCTCTAGTAGACTTAGGAGCTTCAGAGGCACTGGCATCATAGCTCCTGCTCTCATGATACCTATTCAATTGCATTGAAAGCTCATCCGTCAAACCTAGATTACTTGCAAAGCCAACGGGGTCATCGGCATTGCAAGAAATATGACGCTTTTGTTTTTGTACTGTTGTGTCATCAACGTCAGCAGATCTTTTTCTCTTTCGTGCTTCGCATTTATAAAGTGAAGAATGCTGATGGTCAAATTTTGATGAACACTTCTTCAACATATCAAAGCATAGACCGCTGATTGGAGGACCTCCCATCTGGTAGTGTTTTCCATGGGAAGCTGGCAAAAATATTGATGTATTCTTTAGTAGGTAAACCATAAAATCATCCCCAACCCTACTCAACAGAAGACACCAAGACGCACAGGATAAGAGGTCCACATTAGGGCTTGAACATGTGCTATGTATATTGATAGCAAACCCGTAGTTAAGATACTGAATAACTATTAAAAGTTAGTTAAGCTGCAGCCATATTTGAACGACTTGTAATTATTCCATGATACATTATTAGATTATATTGCAAACTGGTTCTTAAGTTTGTCATCAGCATGGAGCGCCATCTTATCATCCGTTTCAACAAATTCATCCAACACGTTACCTTGAAGCTGAAATTAGAAGTAGGTTATTAATCTAATTTTACAGTGAAATTAGAGAGATGATTTGATTTTGCACTGAGCCTGAGCCTGAGCCTGGTTCTTGTGATGAGTTTCTAGATGATTCTTATTCCATTTTTTGTATAGTATGATGATTCAAATTTATTCAGGTAACTTTGCAAATCATCCAAAGTGTATGGAATCACACTGTCACTTAGAACAAGGGATGAAGATCCACTTGGGCAGTCCCGTACAGCCGACAATTTGAACCACAAGAAATCATCTATCGAACTAAAAAGATTTTGTTGATCTCTAAGCAGGTAATCAATATGCCTTCGAGAACCTGATATGATGGCATGATTGCTTGTATTGACTTGGATTTTTTTGTATGAATGTGCAGGTCATGAACTGAAGATGAAGAACTTTGACATGGCATGGAATTAGAAGTTTACTCATGGAATCTTAGCACCTTTAGGACTAAGGAATTTTGTTCAAGTGTATTTTGTAACAGTTTTCTTTTCTTTGTAGAATATTGGTGTAATGGGATTGTAATGATTTTATAATGAATGTTTGATTTGGATGAACTTGAAATTTATAGTGTGAATTGTAAATGGCCTTTGAGCTTGAAATGTTGGGGTGATGAATTTTAAGGATGGAGTTTAAATGACAAAGTCTTGAGAAAATGCTTGAAGACATGAAAGCGTCAAATTTTCTTGTAAGGTATTGTTACACTTGAATGAAATTGAATGGAATTGGCTAGTATTTTCTTGAATCATGAATGAAAGGGTTCGAATAAACTTTGAACACATGTCAACTTGAATCTGGAATAACGATGAACATCTTTATAATGTGGATGAACTCCGACTTGAAATAAGACCTTGCAGTCTGTATTTTACCTTCCAAGAAAGCCATATGACCAATACTTAAGGCTCTTTGCCGACTTTAATTCAACCAAATACTTTCGAACATCTTGAACTCAAATCAAACTTCAAATCCAAATCACACTTGCATTCTCAATGAACTCCTAACTTCAATCTTGAATGACAAATAATTTGAATAGCCAATAAGATCTTGATCCTAAAAAATTCACAACCTTGCCCTTTTGCATCATGCCTCATCCTACGATTCAATCCATAAGTCTCTTATCTCGACGAGATCCTTCTCTAATTGACGACCTTTAATCATCAAAGATGTACACAAATGATAATGAAAGAACATGATCGAGATTAACATGAAACCTTATTTCCCCTGATCTTCGATTACCTGAACATTTATCAATGAATAGAAATCCTGATTTTTTAATGAAATCTTCCTTTTCTGAACCAATATTTCTTTTCCTTTACCATACCATTCTTCAAATGCAACTCGAATTCCTAACACATATTAGATGAAAATTCAAGGGAGACCTTGGTCCCAAAGTTAATTTTTCAAAACTTACTTTAACCGAAGTCAACAGATATTATCCACATATCTTTGAAATTGGCCCATGATTATGCATCTCAAGGTCTCATAAGAGCTTGTAAGCTCATCAACCAGGTATGCCATGTTGAACAAACCCTGCCTTGAATGCCTTGAACCTTGAATTACCTTGCATGAATTCTTCTATGGGAAACCTACTTCAATCCAAACCTACTCACATCGCAGATAACAAATGACAATGATGAGGACAATGATGGCCTTGGTTAAGGAGAAATCTATGAATTCATATCTTAGGTCATGAACCACGCTTCACAATTCAATCCTCAGCCCTTAGCGATCGGTTATTTCAACTTGAGATTAGTGTCATAAGGAACATCTTACAGATGGATGATAAAGTCTGAATCACAGAAGAATTCCCTTGATGTGAAACCCTCACAATCTTGATTCCTCGTTCAGACGCACAGAGAAATATCCAGATAAAACATCTTTGAACCATGATTCAACAAAACCTAATTTAATTAACTGAGGAGTAGACGATTGTCATGTCACAGTCATTAATCCTAATCAAATGACAAGCATACTTATAGGAAAGGACGTCATGATTCGAAGCCCACATATGCTAGGTCACGTCCTAGAGTTCTTGACCAGAATGACCTACAATCGGTTGTTTATCAGAAGATAATAGCCTTGCTGCTTGAGGGAGAAGAAGTCCTTTATTGGATATGAGCGCCTTAACCACTATGAAACCCTAGTATCGCACAACCACTGAACTTTGAACCTCAGAGCTATATTGAATGAAATGTATGCCATGTTAGTGACCTAATGAAAAAGATGCAGATGAATGCAAAAGTCTAAGCCAAAATAAAGGAAATTAGGAGGGCAAATTTTGGGGTGCAATAGCTGCCCCTATTTAATCGTCTTCAACCTGAAGGTGAGATTGGCGCCAGCCTTTCGAACTTTCAAGGTAGAAGAAGATTAAATACTTAAAAGAACCCAAAAATTTGCGCTCTGGAGTCAGTCAGGTATTATTATTTTTCTTTTTCGGAATCTATTTTTATTATATTATTTTGCTTTTTGGATTACATGGGTTATCGGGGTTAGATGTATGTTTAACCAGAGTTTGATACTCAACAGAATAACTTGGTTATCAAGGAACATCTGTTGGGATTTAGTAACAAACACCTGTAAGAAAGGTATCAAAAGATATATGCCTGAAGCCTGTAGTAGACATACGAAAAAAATATCAGAGACACATATCCGGGGTTGGTAGCGGATATACAAGAAAGAGACATCAAAAATACATATCCGTGGTCGGTATCGGATACGCACAAAAGAGATAGACAAGATACATATCCGTGGTCGGTATCGGATACGCACAAAAGAGATAGGCAAGATACATATCCGTGGTCGGTATCGGATACGCACAAGAGAGATATCAAAGATACACATCCGTGGTCGGTATCGGATGTGCACAAAAGAGACATCAAAGATACATATCTGTGATCGGTATCGAATACGCACAAGAGAGATATCAAAGATACATATCCGTGGTCGGTATCAGATATGCACAAAAGCAATATCAAAGATACATATCCGTGGTCGGTATCGGATACGCACAAAAGAGATATCAAAGATACATATCCGTGGTCGGTATCGGATACGTACGAAAGAGACAGCAAAGATACAAGATCATATGTCTGAGGTTGGTAGCAGACATATGAAAAAAGTATCGAAAATACATATCCGTGGTTGGTATCGGATACGTACGAAAGAGACGGACCGAAGAAAGCTCTTGCAAAGAAACACCAATCGAAGGCGGACTTACTGAGGAAGGAGACCAAACAAATGGGACCCCGGACAAATGATGTCAATCGAAGGTGTATTTAAAAGAAACGACACCATCCGAAGCGGGATTTTGACAAAAGATACCTAGCCGAAGCGGGGTTTTGAAAGATACAGGTATGCATGTCTGGTCAGAGTTATATACACAAGAGCAAAGTCGATCATCAAGAAACAAATGTTTAGAATTGCTAGCGAACACAGGAACGAGACTAACCGAAGAAAGGCCCAATAAAAAGGGCGCATTCGCCTAAATAAGGATGCTAGACAACTAGACTTTGAAGAGACACTGAAAGACTCTTAACATAAAAGATTAGCTAGGCTAACGAAAGGAGGACCCGACTAACGTGGATAAACCAAAACAAGGAACTGACTAAGCAGGACCTTCAAAGAGCACCGATCGAATGTGAACTCTGCAAGAGAAAGGGACCGGTCAAAGCAGACTCTAACAAAGATTGCCAAAACACATTGGGCTTTTGATAAGAAGGATTACAAAAATTCCTCAGGCCAAAGGCGAGGTGTTAATTCTTCAAGAGTGGCAATTATTAGAATTACCACACACCAAGTGTGGATACTCAAACACTTGAGAAGCAAGAAAGGTTATAAGCCAACTCTTACTCAAGACAAAGCAAACGCGGGTAAAATAACCAAAGGCTTGCAAAGGTAAATGCAAACCACAAACTTACTGGGGAATGGAGAAATACCAAAGACCCGACTGGTGAATCCAAACACACCCTGCTGGGGAAACATAATAGAATTACCCTAAGCTTCTTGTGGAGGTAAATCAAATCTGAGCGCATAACAATCTGGTCGCCACAAGTGGACACAATTGGCTTATACTCATGCATGTTTGAATTTTTTTTATAGCGTAATGCTCCATACAATGGAAATGCTACGTGTTTTAGTAGATGCAATGTAATGATACAATGTAATGATGCAATGTAATGATGCAATGTATTAAGAAAACAGGCCAACAATCGGCTGCTGAGAAGGCAAAGAACTTCTGAATGATTATTCTTGCATATCTGATCTTCTGTAGAGAAAAAGCGATTTGTACTTCAGTGGGGAACCGAGATTTGGAACCGTCGATCCCTAAAGATCGATATCACTAGGGAAATAACTTCCTGGGATAATACTACAAAAATAAATTTTAGTTCGGTGAAAATCTTGAATTCTGATCAAACTTCTAAATTCCTGGGGGATAGATACTTTATCTTCTGTTAGAACGGGGAGAGCTTCGCTGGGGATGGAAGCTTTCTCTTGCGCAGAACTTCCTTACGAAGATAGCTTCTACTGGGGAGTATAGAAATTCTTAAATAAATAGAATTCTACTCAGACCACACTGGGGATAACAACGTCGGGGGATAAAAATCTTCACTTGGGGAATAACCAAACATCCTAGGACAGAAACTCCACCGCTGACATCTCAACAAAATATTTCATATTCCGGGATGAAGGAGTTATAATTGGTGTTCCCATGTGCACCATACTGGGGAGAAGATGACACTTGTTCTAGAAAGCATGCTCCACTAGGGAATGAAAACTCGCCTCACTGGGGAAAATACTGCAAAAATAAATTGCAGTTTAGGGAAATTTTCGAACTCTGATCCAACTCCCAACTTCTTAGGGAAAAATCCAACATCTCTTTCCAAGGATAAAGAGAATCTTGCTTGGAATTGGGACCTTCCGATGTAAGTCTTCGACGGAAGTGACTTTGATTGGGGAATCGCAAAAAAAATTTGTTTTTTTTTCCTTTTTTTTTCAATAAAATAATTCTACCCAGGCCACACAGAGGATACTACTGTCGAGGGTAACAATCTTCACTTGAGGAAGAGAAGGTCATCTTTGAACCATAAGCTTGAGGTTTGGAACTCTTCCGAGGAAATATTTCATCCATATCCCATCACTAGGATAAAAGAATTTTAAACGGCATTTGTCCATGTACTCTGCCCCAGAGAAAAGAAGGAAAAATAATAATAATAATAATAATAATATAGGAGACCTGCTCTGCTGGGCATAACAAACATGTTAATAAAACATCTCTTCAAGAAAACCTGACTTGGGCAAAACTTCCCTAGGGAGAAAAGATACGAACTTCAGAGAGACGGTGACCAGCAATCTCCCTAGGGAGATAAATACCTACCACGGAGATATATGGTACTGACTTCGAGAGGATATAACAAAGGTCTACAATCCAATGAAATGATCTTTCCAGGATTTATCGAAGCTGGGTCGACTATGCTGAAGAAGAAGTTTATATAAAACTTATTGAAATGCATTTCTTCAGAGATAAGTCTTATGGGAGGGACAAACTCTTAAACAAACTCTCATTGAGAGTACTGACTTCAGTGGGGATTACGCACGGACATACTTTTAATGGAGATAAGGATTTATGTCTGGGAGGGAGTACGCCCTTATTGGGGATACATGATTCTGTCTTGAGAAGAAGTGAGCATTCACTTGGGAGATTGAATCCCATTCTACAGAAATCCTCATGTTGGTCACATGCAGACCTTTCTTGATTCACTTGCTGGTATGCTTCTTGTCATAAAAGACCAACAATACTTGCAAAATAGAAAATCGTGGCAATATGCCCCATGCGTGGAATGGAAAACTTCACTGATGAATAAGCAATTTGAACCACCAATCGATGGGTAAAAAAAATGTGATGCAAGATTACAACTTCATCACGTCAACTCTGAGGAGGAATGCCACTGAAAAGTGGACTTTGGAGAAGATGCTGCAAAAATAAATTGCAGCCCAAAGAAAAGGGATCAATCTAGACTTTACACAGCTTCTATATTTCCAGGGAGAAAGCACATTCCCCTACTGCAGAGAAATGAGGATGCTTCACTAGGGAGAAAATATCTCAGAAGAGGAACCCCTTGATAGATAGGTCTATGTTAAGTAGCAATGGGTATTTTACTAGGAGGAGGCATCCCCCTAGGAAGCAATATTCCTATCGAGTCTTGTACGTGTAAACAATCTTCAAGTGATCTTTGTGTTACAGCTCATATCTTACTGAGGATAACAATCCAAACTTCAACTGGGGGTAATAACCTTGACTTAGGACAAAGGATATCAGTAAATGGTCTTGAGTCTCTGATAAGTTGAAGATAACAATCTTAACTTCTCGGCATGATTTTCAAATTCATAGGTCGTTTAGCCTATACATGGATGTGATCTGATCAACCACTCAAGTAGAGAGAAAGCCCTTACATGAATTCTTGCCCCAGTCTGTAAGGCTTTTGCAGAAAAATTGCCTCGAGAGGACTTTTTGAGATTTATACCACCAAGATAAACTGCCCCAGTGTTATGAAATTCAGAATACTGCCC